CGTCCTCGATGCCAAGCATCTCGAACGTCTTCAATATCTGTCCTAGCCACTTATCCGTCTTTAATGGCTCCTTAGGGTCACCTAAAAACTCGTCCGAATTAGACTGGAAGAACTCCCACTTTAAGAATGATGACCCTACCTCAACTACTTAGGCCTGGACTTGATTCTTAGCCTTGAGAATGTCTATGGATTCCCGCAAAGCCCCAACCATTTCACAGGCCAAAGCGCCCATGGCCTATTGACCAATTGGTTTAGCCATATTGGCCTGACCAACCCCTTCCTCTTGTGCCAGAATCTCATCCGGTAAAGGCACCTCATGCCTTCTAGGCCTACCATGCCTACCACTACCATGTCCACGTCCTAACATCCTAATAAAGGTAACAAAGAAGATTAGCACATTTACAAATGTGCCAAAGCTAACTCACTCACATCCTAATGTGATGCGCAATAGTAATTCACTCCACATAAGCACGTAATCACATAAACACATAAGAATTTCCTTCTTAGATAATGATTGTCCCGCGACATTGCTAGAGTTCCAATTAGAAACAGCAGTGATCGCGTGCTTTTCTAATAGGACTTCTAGAAACCTGTAAACTCAATCAACATCTTAGGAATTAAACCACATACCCATATAATCACATAAGCATGTTATCACTTAGCATTACAAAACATACAAACATCTCTATCAAGCGAGATAAACCCATTGGGGTAAGAACCACTTCCCACGTACCCAAAGTATTCAAACTCAGTAAGCTCTGATACCAAGTTAATGCCCCAAAATAAACACAATATACCCATCTCATAATAACCAATAAATAGCAACATAAATGAATTGATAAGCTTTCGTTAATTTGAGTTTGATATACAAAAGGTGACACATGCAATATACATTCATAAACAGTACATCCTGAATCTACGGCATGTGTTACAAGATTGTGAAAAGAAATTAGAGCTAAACAGATAATCATACACCCTAAAGGCTTACATCTTTCCAAGTCAACGCTCGGGTACATCAACAGTGAGTCTTAAGCTCAATAAAGATAAAGCCCTAGGCTTGTACAAAATTAGATACAAAATAACAACACTGAGCCTTCAGCTCCATAGTCCTCCCAAGCTAAGTCCATGGTAGAGGCATATCACTAGCACCTGAACATGATTACCTATAACCGAGTGGAAGTGAGAGCATGTCACAATGGATTTTTTATGGGTCTTTCCGAGGACTCAATAGGGTAATGACGCCATTTGGGTGGTAGTTGATCGATTGACCATGTCAGCGCACTTTATACTTATATGCATGAGTGACTCAGTAGATTATCTAGCTGACCTTTATGTTAGGGACATAGTGAGGTTTCACGGGGTCCCTATAACGATTATTTCAGACAGAGATCTGCGTTTTACGACTCATTTGTGGCAGAGCCTACAGAATGCCTTGGGCACGAGATTGACTTTTAGCACCGCATATCATACACAGGCTGATGGACAGTCAAAGCGCACCATTCAGATTCTAGAGAATATGCTTCGGGGTTGTGTTCTTGATTTTAAAGGATCGTAGAAGAGGCACTTGCCCTTTGTGGAGTTTGCCTATAACAATAGCTTCCAATCGAGTATTGGCATGGCACCGTTTGAGGCCTTGTATGGCCGACCGTGTAGATCCCCTGTGTGTTGGGCCGAGGTGGGCAATGCACCTATGTTCGGTCTAGAGTTAGTCCGGGAAACGATGGAGAAAGTTACACTTATCCATAAGAGGTTAGTCATGGCTTAGAGTCGTCAGAAGAGCTATGTCGACCGTAGAAGAAGACCGTTATCCTTTGAAGTGAGAGATCATGTCTTCCTAAAGATATCACCTAGATGGGGTTTGATGAGGTTTGGAAGGAGTGGGAGTGGGAAGTTATCTCTTAGATTTATTGGGCCTTTTGAGATCCTAGAACGGATTGGGGAGGTAGCTTATCGTTTGGCCTTGCCCCTATAGCTCTCCGGGGTTCATGACGTGTTTCATATCTGTATGTATCGGAAGTATGAGTTGGATCCATCGCATGTGTTGGATTGGACCGAGTTAGAGGTAGACAAGGATGCCTCGTATGAGGAGAGACCAGTGAGAGTTTTGGATACTCAAGACTAAGTCTTGCGTGGCAAGACAATTCCTTTGGTGAAAGTGTTATGGAAACACCATGGGGTCGAGGAAGCAACTTGGAAACATGAGTTAAAAGTCCGTGAGAAATATTCAGACCTATTTGTTGGTACTTGAACATGTTTTGAGAGTTTTATTGTGTTAATATAATGTAAACATTGTACATTTTTTGGAAATGTGAATTGTATATTCAGTATTGAGAACTTGTTTTTTTTTTTGGGTAAGTAATATTGAGAACTTGTTTATCATGTTGATATGAATGAACGACGGCCAACGGGTTTGTTGCAATCCTTGCCTATAGCCGAGTGGAAGTGAGAGCATGTCATAATGGATTTTGTTGTGGGTCTTCCGAGGACTCAATAGGGTAATGACGCCATTTGGGTGGTAGTTGATCGATTGACCATGTCAGCGCACTTTATACTTATATGCATGAGTGACTCAGTAGATTATCTAGCTGACCTTTATGTTAGGGACATAGTGAGGTTTCACGGGGTCCCTATAACGATTATTTTAGACAGAGATCTGCGTTTTATGATTTGTTTGTGGCAGAGCCTATAGAATGCCTTGGGCACGAGATTGACTTTTAGCACTGCATATCATACACAGGCTGATGGACAGTCAAAGCGCACAATTCAGATTCTAGAGGATATGCTTCGAGGTTGTGTTCTTGACTTTAAAGGATCGTAGGAGAGGCACTTGCCCTTTGTAGAGTTTGCCTATAACAATAGCTTCCAATCGAGTATTGGCATGGCACCGTTTGAGGTCTTGTATGGCCGACCGTGTAGATCCCCTGTGTGTTGGGTCGAGCTGGGTAATGCACCTATGTTCGGTCTAGAGTTAGTTCGGGAAACGATGGAGAAAGTTACACTTATCCATAAGAGGTTAGTCATGGCTTAGAGTCGTCAGAAGAGCTATGCCGACCGTAAAAGAAGACCGTTATCCTTTGAAGTGGGAGATCATGTCTTCCTAAAGATATCACCTAGATGGGGTTTGATGAGGTTTGGAAAGAGTGGGAAGTTATCTCTTAGATTTATTGGGCCTTTTGAGATCCTAGAACAAATTGGGGAGGTAGCTTATCGTTTAGCCTGGCCCCTATAGCTCTCCCGGGTTCATGACGTGTTTCATATCTGTATGTTCCGGAAGTATGAGTTGGATCCATCGCACGTGTTGGATTGGACCGAGTTAGAGGTAGACAAGGATGCCTCGTATGAGGAGAGACCAGTGAGAGTCTTGGATACTCAAGACCAAGTCTTGCGTGGCAAGACAATTCCTTTGGTGAAAGTGTTATGGAAACACCATGGGGTCGAGGAAGCAACTTGGAAACATGAGTTAGAAGTCCGTGAGAAATATCCAGACCTATTTGTTAGTACTTGAACATGTTTTGAGAGTTTTGTTGTGTTAATATAATGTAAACATTGTATATTTTTTGGAAATGTGAATTGTATATTCAGTATTGAGAACTTGTTTATCATGTTGATATGAATGAACGACTGGTGGATGAGTCATGGTGATGAATTTGAATTATTATCATTGTTATAACTGGTTTAAACTTGCTTTTAATGTTTATTTTAAATTTTGGGGACGAAATTCCAAAAGAGGGAAGATTATAGAGATTCTAGTTTGGACCCGACCCATTTGATGTTTTGGATTTGGGTTTCGTTGTTATATACAGTTGTTCTTGCTTTGTTTCCCACTACTACTCCTTGAATTTGGCTATTGGGTTGTGTTGCTTGTGTTTGGAACAGGTTGGTGGCTTGTTTTTCAAACTTGTGTTGCCCAAATTTTTGTTCCTTCGCTCGAGTGACACTTCTTGCACTTGAGCTGTCTTTCCATTTGTCCGGCACAAATTCCCCTTTCAGTGTAGTTACAATGGTGCACACCATGAAATGAAAAAAAATAAAAATAAAAATAAAAACAAAAACGATACTTATGAAATATTGTGATTATGTTATAAATGTTAAAAAGTTAAGAATTTTTTATGGTAAAGTTACCAATTATGTTAGGGAGTGGGAAAAAAAATGAAAACCCACAATAAGGTCCTGTTTAGCAATTTGGTTTTTTTTAGTGACTTTTTAATTTTTTTAGTGAGGTGAAAAATATTAGTATGTTTGAAATGATTTTTTTAGTTGAATATATATTTGTGAGAAACAAAAAAGTAATTGATTAATATGTATATTTTAACATTTTGACTTTTTTGACTCCCTAATTTTTTTGTGACTTTTGATTATTTTAACTTAAAATAATAACCAAATTAACGAATTTAAAAAAATAAAATTTATTAACGTAGTGTTTGGTTCATGGATTTGGGTAAAAAATTAGAAAGGTAAAAAAAAAACGTGTATGAAATGTAGTACCTGAGTTTGGGAGACATGCTAAAAAGATGCAATTAGGTTGGTGAACATTTGAAAGGATGATTACAACTTGGATAAGATTCATGAAAATGCAGCATCCATAATGATACCAATAAATCATCCATCTCACTGCTGTGACTAGAAATTCAAATCTATCTTTTCATGTGAAAATTTCTATTGAAACAAAGAGAGGATACTCACTCTTGCATTTAGTCGTGGTCCTTATAAGAGACAGTTTAATTAACACCATCAAACAGGTGACAAGCCCTAATTTGTTTATTTGTACCTTGTTATTATGCAAAAATTAAATCAGTTCTACTATTGATTGCAATCAATGAGAGGAAAGTATAAAAATTAAATAGATAGTAACAACTTTTTATACAACTTAAATTGTTTGTTCAATTGTTTAAGAGATGGAAGCTCTTCCCTTTTATCTGTCCTTTTTTTTGTTTTTTCTTTTTTTTTTTAAAAAGCTAATAAAATTTTCCTTATACCTTATGTTATTATCAATGATACAGGTTGTGTTTCCTTGCTTGGAAGAGTTGAGCATTCGGTCCATGGCCAACATTGAACAGATATGGATTAGCACACCTCCAACCAACTCCTTCAACAAACTAACAAGTTTGTATGTGTGCAAATTTAACAGATTAGTGTATGTTGCTCCATTAGAACTACTTGGAAGTTTGCAGAATCTACAATCCATTTGTATAACAGAATGTGAGTTACTAGAAGAGGTATTCAAAACCAGAAGATCAAATGTAGGGGAAGGAATAGTTTTAAGAGATGAAGCAACAAGCAAACAAGTTGAAATCACTCATGTGCTCCCTCAATTAGAAAGAGTTTTCCTTAAAAAATTACCATGTTTGATAAGCTTTTGCTCTGGGTATAAATTGGCACCATCAGTACAGTTGTCAATAGAAGAATGTCCCTCCTTGAGACCCCTAATGTAAGAGAAAATCAATGAATCTTTCCATTCCAATGAAGAGGTATGCCATTGATTCTTATTTATAGTTATCCAAATTGCACACCCAAAAAAAATGTTTATCCAAAACCTTCATATTCATTATTATTAACTTTGTCTAATACATGCTTATTGGTTAGAGTTTAACTTCTTAACGGCTATGCCGTAAATTTCTAGTTTACAGTTAACCAATAGAAGAATGCCACATTAGCTAATTTATGGTACACAAATAGTCACATTATATTCCCTGTTTGGCTCTGTTTCTTGGCCCATTACCCTGTCTTTCTCCCAATCTGGTTTCCTCCACCATGGAACCCCCAGCACCTCTTCTAACCTCTTCTTCCCTGTTGACAACTCCCTTCCCACTTCATCTCCTTCCTCTCCTAGACCAACATGTTCTCCCTTAAACACCCATCATCGGTCCATCGTTTTCCCCATTTAACACGATAATTATGGCCAACGTCGCAAGCCCCAGTCCATATTTCTTAACACTATTGTTAATATCAGAGTCCCTTCCCCAACTATTTTCTCAGTTCGTGAATGGTGATTTTGGTGTTTCAGTTACAATTTGAATTTTGCAGTTTTTGTTTTGAGTTAAAAAAAAAAGTTGGGAAAATTGGATACTAGTTTTGAGTGTCTTCCTCAGTAATAAGTGTGTTCATCAAATATTGATTTGATATGGGATATATATATATATGTACATGTATATTGTAAATTGTATATTGTATATTCAATCATGTACTGTTTAAACTATGGAGATGATGGAGGTTTGGTGGATGAATAGCTCTTGAGGATGAAGAGTCTGAATAAAGAAGGGACAATTTCACCGCGTTGGTGGCAATAAAAATAAATTACAAATTAATAAAGAAGTTTATAATTTTAATTTTTAACAACTGTAATGCTTTTCATTATTTTGTATTTACTTTTTCTTGACATAACTACCAAGTTATTTCGCCCAATAAAGAATGGTAAAGAGAGAATAAGATTTGATAAGGGTGACCCTGTGTTTGCGTCTAGGTGGGAACCACTCTTTGCTTACGTGTCAGTATCATTGTAGTGATGGTGAATTGTAATAGTAGCATTTTACGGTTCGACCGTGTTAAAGTTAATTTGTTAGTAACGTACAATTGTAATTCCCACTTGTAATTCTAATGGTGCAATATAATTTAAAATAATACAAGAATTAAATTACATAAGTATGGAGTTGGAGACTAGTTAATACTATAATATGACCCACGCGTAGGAATGACAATGAGTAGGGTACGGGTTAGGGGTCCTTACCCCACCCCTATTTTTCCTACTTGCCCCCACTCCCGACTCAATTCTCATGAAATTCTCCCCCACCCCACTCAAATCCAAACCCAAATCCGCAAATGCACCCCCCACTCCCAACCCTATCCGATCCAAAAATATGAGGCACAAATGTGTCAATACCACCTGCAGCCTTTACTTTATATATTAGAATAGATAGATAGATGTAGAGAGAGAGAGAGAAACAAAATAAAACTGCAAATAACTATTGGAAAGATAGTATTTTCAGTGAAAACAGATATTAGAAAAGAAATGTCCTGAAGCCAATCAAACACAATTAATTATGGAATGAAAAGTACAAATACATTGGATAGAACATCAAACATGACCATTACAAATTGAAGTACACAAACATAGAAAATTGAGCAAATTACAACGGCAGCAATGCTGCTATGAACATTGTTGTATGACGACAATAACAACATACAACTGAATCAACAACATAAATTAACATAACCCAATTGCCTACTTAGCTGCTCATTTCATTTGAAGCGATTGTAAGCGGTCCTGGATCGTGAGAATCGAATCCTTCTCTTCATTATCGAATGCGCAATAAATATGAGCAATAAAATGGGAATCTTTGTTATAGTATGCCCAACCATTCTTGCTAATCTTGGAGTCACACACTTTACAGTAGACAGTTCTAGAAGTCTCAATGGGAAAATCATAGCAAAGTGTAAGCGGCTTTTTGTGCTTCTCATAGTAGACAATATAGGGCGTGCCAGCACACGCCACGTGGAGATCAAACTTGCAAGGACAGCAGTGGTAGTGAAAGCCCTCGCCAAGGCCGCGACAAGCATTGCAACGGAACTTTCCAGATTCATAACGGGTGGAAGATCGGAGGGTGAGTGTTTCACCACGATGAGATTTGTGTTTGATCTGTCGTGGAACGTCTTTACATGACTTGTGAATGAAGAATTCAAAGTCTTGACAGCCCCAGGCTTTGCCTACAATGTCTGTCTCGCATATATCACATTGTACTTGGTCTTCCTCTAGCATCTTGTAGCGATGCAGGGCATGGCGATGGCTGAAGTGAGCTATCTCATTTTTAACAGGACGTGTATTGTGCCGAACTTTCTGTTAAAAAAATTATGTGATTATTATGATTGAATCAATTAAATTTTTTTGAAAAAATAATTTCCTTTTTTTAAATCTAAAAAATAGTGTAAATTTAACATACTAGTGAACCCATTATTAAGAAATGTAACTACTTATTATGTCTACATGGTAAATTAATAATACATGGTAATTTATTATTAGGGTAAATTACACTTTAACCCCTTGTGGCTTACTCAAAGAACACGGAGCCTCCTTATAGTTTCATTTGTAACACTTAAACACCTGAATTTCATACCAAAGTGCAATTTCAAATGGGACCGTTTGTTTCAACAGAGCGTGTGTTGCATGACTAAAAAATCAAAATTTTCCCTCCTCAATCACACTGGATAATTTCTTAGCTTCTTCTTCTTCCCAATTTTTTTTGAAAACCAAAAAAGTTGGTTCTCTCTCTAAAATGTTTCCCTCTCTCTTTAGCTTATCTCTCTCATTTCTCCATCTTTCCCTTTCATTTTTGTTTCATTATTCTTCTGAATTCTATGTCTATCATTCTCTTAACTCAAATAAAGTTAACCCAGAAATTAAAATTAAGATAGCCAAGCTTAACCCAGAAATTAAAGTTAATCACAAGATCACATTATCTTTTCCTTATTTTCTCCTTTCTCTTCCACCAGCTCAAAACTTGTACCTCTTCTTTCAGCTAAAAGAATCAACCCAAAAAGATTTTTCAATTTCAATGCACATACCCACTGCCTCTATTTTGTAGATCATAATCAAAGTGTTTTTTCAAATTAAAGCCATGCACACACATACATATATGTACACTATGTATAGGTAAATATGTATCATACATATCAATAAATATGTATGTATATATATCATATATGTATAATTGAAACTACCCATCAATTCTTTCTTTGGCTACATTAGCAACAGTTTCTGTCTTTTTTTTTTTTTCTTGCATAGAAACTATCATGGCCGCCCAACCAAATTAGACAAGAAAAATAACCCCACACAACCCACGAATGTATAAATACTTACATATATATATATATATACAACATTCATGGCAAAAAGGAAAGAAAAAAAATTAGAGAAATGAGATAGTGGGTAGTGGCAAGAAGAAAGTGGGTAGTGGTGGGTGTTGGTTGAGTGGAGGAGATGGGATGAGGTTGGTAGGCGTTTGCAGTTATGGATTGTGTGTTTGGGTCTAAATTCTAAAGACAGAAAGGTTATTGTTTGTTTGGGTTTAAATTCTAGAGAGGGAGAGATGAGTATTTGTTTGGGACTAAATTCTAGAGAGATAGAGAGAGATGTGTATTTGGTGATGGTATGAGAGGTGTGTGGTTCGCCATGGGATGAGAAAGAAGTAGAAGAATACAAAAAATTTAAAGAAAAATGAGGGAATATTCTGGTTTGTAATGGCATTAAGAAAAAAATTAGAGAAAAAAATGAGGGTAATTTAGACTTTTTACAACTTCCGTTATATTGGCCCGAAATTGTACTTTGGTATAAAATTTAAGGGTTTAAGTGTTACAAATGAAATTACGACGGGGCTCCGGGTTTTTGGATAAACCACAGGGGGTTAAAATGTATTTTACCCTTATTATTAATAGCTAATACTATTCGGTGATGAAGTGATACAACGGTTTTATAATTTGTATTAACATTTTTAAAGAAAGCTTCCCTCTCATGGAACTGCAGAGTCCAATTGAGGGGACTGTGGGCCTACTATGAGATTCAAATCATTCATCTTAAGGTTTCCGTCAAGTACATAATTTATGTAAGAAATGTTGATTACATATTGGACGATATTTAGCAAAAATAGATGGTCTTGAAATCAAAGTTAAATTTTTTTTTTTTTTTCAGGGAAAGCCTATGGTGGAAATGTGTACTCTATTATAAATTGGCGTAACTTTGTTATCAAATTTTAGAAAATGTGTAATATCACCATAAATTGACATAAGAAAAAATGTTGTAATCAAACTACAAACTTCTATAATATCGACAACAAAATTTTAGACATTTTATATTAATTTGTGGTGAGGTTATGTATTGTGTAATTAATGTTACAAAATTATGTGACAACATTACGCCAATTTGTGGTAGGGTGCATATGGCATGCACCCCTAAAGGGTGCACACCATAGGATTTCCCCTATTTTAGGGGTAAATTACAAATATCTTGAAGTTTGTTTAAGATATGTATTGCTCCACGCGGTTTGAAAAATTACAAATATCCCCTTGTCAGAATTTTTTATTTAACAGAGTTAACAAAAAAACTGAAATTTCTAACTATTCTTCTATACAATGATAAAATAACTTGAATTATTAATTGAAATAAATTCCTAACATTATTAAAGACTATTAATTGACTTGATTATTTATTAATAAAATGAGACATTTGTTATAAAATTAGAATTTCAAGGATTGCAATGTAATTTCTGAATTATACGAGACAAATCGTATTTTAAGCAACCTTAAGGGCTTTATTTGCATTTTACCCCCTTTTTTTTCTTTTAAGACAAATTTGATTCAATTATTTGGTCAAGGAAAATGATTTACAAATAAAAAAATTTATATAAAAAATTTTACAAGAATGATGTGAGAGTAGTACTTTGGAAATTGTAAATCGTTTTAATGGATCTTTTGATTTGAAATGAATGGATACAAATAT